TCTTATAGCAATTCCTTTCACAATAATAATTACAGATAAGAAGGCTTCCGTATGGTCACGAAACAATCGCCTCGATTCTCACATTTGAAAATTATTAATCGGGCCCCATCTAAAGGCATGATATTAATTTGCGATAACACGTACAACTGCCTACAATTTACTCATTTGTGCCATTTAACGTGGTAGTAAACTTTCAAGTATTGTTACCCACAACACCCTCGCTTGACCTAGCCGTCCGTCCGCCCCGATTTAGCATCGTCGGATGCGAATAATGACTTTAGGTTTACAGGCTAAGCGCACGTTTTGCGAGCTTTTGACCGCTATCTAGATCGGTGCGCTTCACGCTTAATACGATTTAGATTGAAAATAATGCATTCACTGGATGCGGGCAGTGCAAAAAAATGCTGAAGACCTGGAAGGTTCTTCGACGCGTTTCATTCCTCTGCTTCAATTGCCTTAGAGACACGTTTTCTTTCACTGTTTATGCAAGAAACTACGTCGGCAAGGAATATTGCGTTTTTTTTGGGTTTACTCTACTAGGGTGACTTTTAATTTTCTTTTGGCCCGGAGAAGAATTCGCTCGAGTCTTATTATGCTCTCACGAGAGCCGTTATTCTTTGCTTTGCTTTATGGGCCACCCGGACAGGGAAAAAAGAAATATGGAATATTATTTCGGGCAATATGGCATGTAACTGTTCACTATAGACATAGAACAAGGCTTATATAGAAACGACTCTTACTCTTGTAGAAAGTGTGTCGCTAAAGTGGCGCGCCCTGGTGGCTGAGAATTTAAAAAATTCAAACAAATCTGCATTATGACTACACTTGCTTTTTTTTAATTGTGCCGCAAGGGGCAGCTGATAATAGGGATAAATTACACAACTACACAAAAATACATATAAATATACATATTACTTGTTGTATATTGTTTGTATAAAAACTTTTTACAGTTAAAAAAAATCTTTGGAGCATTTTTAGGAACAACTTTAAAACATACGCCTTTTGTGATAGGAAGCCGTGCATTTTCTAACGGCCTTCAAGACACCAATAAATAGCTACCATCTTCGCAGATTATTGACGATTTATGAAAACAGATAAGGAAAAAGATAATCTGAAAATATCATTATTCATTTTGAACAGAGGTTTCT